CTGCAAGTGGCTAATGGCAGGGCCGCCCGCCAAGAGCGAAGATAGAACATTTTAGGTCACCAAAAACTAGACTCTGATACGATGTATAAAAATAAGAGGAGACGATATTTCTATATTGAATTGTCTACATTACAAAGTTAAGATTCAATCCTCTCCTCTCTATATAAGAAGAGGGTAAAGTTAATAAGTAGACTTTTATTCCACAATTCTATTTCTTTTAAAATAAGAATTAAACTAAAATAGAAAAAACACAAAATGTCATAAGAAGTATTGGGAACCTAACCTTGCCCAATTTACATATTAAAGATTAAAATATGCACACATTTAATTTTAAGTAAATAGTGATCGAATTACCTAATAATTTTTAATATTTATCACTTTGACCCATTTTTCAAATATATATTCGTTTATGTACCAATTGAATAGATTATGTATATATTCTTATTCATTACGTAACAAATAAAAAATACTATTCAGATTCGGATTAAACTTTTACAAATAGAAATCTTGAAAGACAAGTACGAACTATGGATCGAATCAAAATTATTCGTTTGATTCATTTACAACCCTATTCGAATGCTAGGGAAGGGATCGGAATAAATTATATACTCCTCGTTTTACAAACTCTTTCTTCGTTCTTTTTCTTGTGTCACACAATCTCTTTTTCTATCTTATTAAAATACCATTTTTACCTTTCCGATCCCATTATACATATTCCCTTCGTCCCAAAAACTCTTTCTCATTTCTTTTTTTCCTGTCCCACGAAGTCATAGCTTTTCATTTAAAAAATCACTTTTACCCTACTAATTTATAAACTATCTATCACATCATACCTTTTTACTAAAAATTTAGTCATTATATCTTACTTTTAGCCATCACATCAAGGGTATTTTTATAAAGTCAACACAAAAATATTTCTCCCTTAAATTTTCTAAAAGTTAAAATGGGAACATCTTTATGGGACGGGGGTAGTATTCACTAATAATTTACTCATTACATCCTAATTTTACACATTACGTCAAGACTAATTTGAAAAAGTTAATACAAAAATATTTTTTCTTAAATCTTATTCTCTCCGTTCCAATTTTGATTAGAATTTTCTTTTAGCTTCTCGATAACTTTTGTTTATTTTTGTGTTTTTATTGATTATTTGATAAAATAAAATATTCTTGTCATATCTTATTTTGTAGAATTTTTTGCATAATTTTTCACTAGGTAGTTTTTATTTTTTACTCATGTGACAATTTGTAAATAAAATAATTTTAAAATATACAAAATTTTACCTTGTAAATCACAATTTTTTTTATCAAATTTGGGACGAGGAGAGTATAAAAATTAAGGGGCTGTTTGTTTCAGCCTCTTAATGGTTCAGATGTCTGAATGATTCAGCACTTAATGGTTCAGACTGTTTGTTTCAGCCTCTTAATGGTTCAGATGTCTGAATGGTTAAGAGATTTGCCTCTGAATGGTTAAGTATCATAAAGAGTCTGAATGGTTAAGAGCTCTTATCTGAATTGATCAGACATTTGCCTCTGAATAGTTAAGCAATATAGTAGCTCTTAATGGTTCAGACCTCTTACTGGTTCAGCACTTAATGATTCAGACCTCTTACTGGTTCAGCACTTACCCATTCAGAAGTTGTCAAACAGCCCCTAAAACCCTAAAACAAAGAGTAGGTTTTATCCTATCTTTAATTTGTCTTTCGTGAGAGTGCATTCACAAATGGATCACAGGTTCATAGTCTCTAGTCTCTACCTAATTTCCCTAGGCCCCAAACTTTTGTAGTTGGCCTTGCACGATCACACATTATTTTTGTAGTTCCTTTAAGGCCAACTCTGCTGGATGGCTGAATAATATATGTAGGATATACTCCCTCTGTCCCAAAAAGTTTGTTACGTTTAGAAAAAACTGCGTCCCGTAAAGTTCGTTACATTTCTATTAAAAAACCACTTTTACCTCTTAGTTTTTCATACCATACCTATCACATCATACCTTTTTTCTAAAAATATACCCATCACATCCTACTTTTACCATCACATCAAGGGTATTTTTGGAAAGTCAATACCAAAATATCTCTCCCTTAATTTCCTAAAAAGTCAAACTGTCACATTCTTTTTGGAACGGAGGAAGTACTATATGATTTACTATTATATTATTATTATTATTATTATTATTATTATTATTATTTATTATTATGAAAACAATTAAATCGAGTACGTCAATGTCAATTAAATAAGCAGATGAGCTGAGAAACGTAACAAACGAATAATTGAAAGAAGAAGCTAAGCCAGATGATGCACGTACGTACATGGCCATATATATGTGTATGGACAATGACATTATCTGGTGCATGCATGTAAGTTGTGAACATATCAGCAGCAGCTGTGAAGTGTGGTACGTGCCACCTACTATACTATACCTCCATGCACCTCTCATTTCCTATCTAATAACCAAATCAAGAACTTAACGTATATTCGTAAAGGGTCGCTTATTTATCCTATAGATACACTCATACATACCCTTTGACTTCACACCTTTGGGACTAAATACATATTCGATGTTGTTTCGTCGTTCATTATACAATTTGATAGTAATTAGTCTTGTTGAATAATGAAGGATATATCCTTATATCTAAGGATTACAAAAGAAAATTTTAATCTAAATAAGAAAAGAATTATAGTAATAATACAATAAAGAAGTAACATAATAACGAGGAGTAGCTTGAGCACATGTACTGGAATTGAGCGTGTGGAAGATGTTTTGTGAGGATAGTCTCTAGAGGTAGAGACTCAGATCTTTGTTGTATGTTAAACGAGTTTGAAATTACGTTTGCTGAGTTTTTCCTGATGAGAATGTTGGCGATTGGAGCAAGGGTACGGTGAATTGTTTCTTTTTTTCTTCTTTTGGGCCATTCTCTGGTTCTCTAAAGCTTCTTTGATGCTCTCGGGCTCTAGAAACATATAAGAAACACAAACAAAAATATTTTTCTGGTTCTTTGATCGCGCACACAAATTGTTTTTGGAAAGAGAGATAGGGACGGTTAGTGTTAAGCGCGCTCATAATTTTTTGGAGGAAAAGAGAGGGATAAGGGAAGATGTGACCATGATCTATAGCGGTCGACCATCAGTGATGAAGACAAGTGGTGACACACGATCGTAAAAAAAAGAAGCCTAGATTTTTTAGAAGAGAGATCTTGCCTCCCATATTATGATACAATTTAATAATAAATGGTCATATTGAACATTGATACCGATTACATCATTATATATATGATGGGAATAACCCATTGGTACCACCCGACAAGTTCACAGGCCCCCGGGAGGTACTGAAGTTTGACCCGACATGACCTCGCCAACCCCGATAATCTGACCAGTTTGATGTCAGGGGTCAGACCCGTGAGATCGTGAGTTCATTCGCTGAAGGCTTGAAGATTGACCGATTTGAAGATTGGGTGGGAGGATGCCAATAGATGAACATCAACGATAAGAAATGTTTTTCTATTCTTATAAATAGGAGTAAAAACCTCATAAAGAGGCAAGCAATTAATAATCCACACAGCTTGTAATTTGTAATCGGTCCCCATTTCATAATAACAAACCAGGTTACAGGTGTTCCCACCTACAGCTCTTTCACTTTTTTTACTTAGTACTCACGTTGGTTTTACACCATCAAAATAGCCACATCTTCACGTGAGACTTATAGGATCAATTTTTGGAACTTTACCGTGGGTCACCTACCCATCATAGGACTACTCCTGTTTCAACACGCTTAACCACATCTATCTGTAGTCCCAAGCCGAGGTAGATTCCTATAGGGCATCTCCTATAATTCACTACGGCAGCGTAGAGGCCCACTACTGCATGAGCGGTGGATGGACATGAGTGGATTCACAAGATACACGACTCACGTACCTCGTCAGGTTTGATTGTCAATACGCGATACCACAACAAACATGGTAGCAAATCTCTAAGCGTGATCGATGGTCCCCCATAAGACCAACAAGAGCGTGTTAACATATACAAACTTTTTATAGCCTACGAGCACAAGTTTTGGCTGAGTTGGTTTCTTGATAATTATATATTGACCATCAAATATGTGCTTTAATAGAAAGCTTGAGAGGACACTCAAGGTGAGCGTATGTTTGTCAACGTGGTTGCTACCAAAAACAACAAGCACAATGATAACACTCGCGTCGAGGAGGAGACTAGCCAAGTCAATGGGCAATGTCATGTTAGTGCATCACTTAGGTTGTCCAAAGGACTGTAGAAACCCACAAGCTAAGATGATAACGGTATATGTTAGGAATCACACTATAGCAGTTTCGAGCTGTTGTTGTTTCGAGCTATTTTTACCATGGATTTACAACAAACCATCAACTTGGTTGGCAAAGTCACCTCTTGTGGGAAGGCTATTTGAAGGGGTCGCAAGGAGAGGTCCTCCAAAGGTGATGAGAACCACTTGAAGGCAAAGATCATTTATGAGGAAGAGGATCCAACATAGTTGAGTCTCAACCTTTTAAAAGCTCAATGACTTGTTGGGAAAGTAATAAACATAAAATGTTTCAATCTTCGTGAGATTGGAAAAGCCCATCGACCCCTCATGCAAGTCTCAGCAAGAATCAACCGTGCACGACTGCTACCAGCTCAAGCTCTTCGCACGAAGACTAAGGACGAAAGGTGAGCAAATCCATATCTCACTCATCAACCACACAAAGAATATCATAGTTTTACATCTAGAGGACGGGTCAAACCACACTCTACAATTTAGTCACCCAATTGGACAAATTCTCCAAAAGTACATGGTGGTTGCCGTCTTAATAATGAAACAAAACAAATTAATAAAGGGACACAAATCTTGTGTCACTTCAAATAGTGAGTGGCACCCACGACTCAATCAAGCTAGCTAGCTGGAACTTTACGTGTTTTGAACCTTTCAATGCCCCCCCCCACACAAACCTCACCCATCACACCATATATACCCCCAAATCCCCACTCCACAATTCCACCCCTTCATTAATTTGCATCTGGCTATAAACAGACTTAATATAATTATCTATCAACTTAGCTTCAGGCAATGGCCAGATTTGCATTTGTCTGTGGAGTGATTCTTGGAATGCTGGTGGTGGGAGCCATGGCGAATGGGGCCTCTTGGGCGGCGTACCCAAGAAAGCTATTGCAGGGGAATACAGGGGAGAGGGGAAGCATAGCAGATCCACCCCTTCCCGGCGGTCCGGGGTCGGAGTCCGGGGAAGAAGAAGCTGAGGCGCCGGAGAGTGCGGCGACGCACCACCACTCGGACAAGTCGGTCGCCGGCGGGGAAGTCATCATCGGCGGCCTTGTCACGGCACTCTTTGCTGCGGTTTATTGTTACATCCGGGTCACCCGGAGAAGGGTAGAGGGCGATCAAAGAAGCGTCTATTAACAATGTGAGGTTAAAAAAACTTAATTAATGAAAATATAAGCTGTACGTGAGTAGTTATTGTTAGGTTAGGCATGTGCTTCGTATTATTGTACCATTAAATTTTATTAAAAAAAATTAGCGTATGGAGTAATTTGCATTTGAATTGAGCTACTTATACACAGTCATACCTTAAAATTGTGTCTCAAATTGTACAGCGTAGATAAGCATCTTCATCTTGTGTCAGTATGATACTAGTGTGATGATTCATACAAACACAAAATCGAGGTACAGATTTTTTTGATCGCACTAGCTAGCATATCGTGTTAGCATAACTCATCAAAACTTTAATGCATAACTTTGGTGTACATTTTGAGGTATATTTCAATTCTATAGGGCATCTCTAGCATGATTGTTTGCGTTTCTGCCGTAAAAAAAATACAGAGTATGAAAAGTAATCTAGAAGAGTGTCCTCTTTGATATTTTGAATAGAAATACGAAAAAGCTAAGTATCAAAATGTAAACTACATGTTTTTAGAAAATGTTATTTACAATTTACTTTCTGCTATCAACACTCAAAAATACACTATATATGTGAGAGAATGAATAGAACAATGTGGAATGTCCTTATAAATTTCTCATGATTTATCCTAAAAAATATGATTAGAGTGTCAATAATGTCAAGTTGTCAACATATAATATTAAAAAAAACTATGGAATACTCATATACACTACCAAATTATGAAAGGCAATAGTCTTATTTTAGGTTAAAAACAAATAAGACTACAACCATGCTAGAGGTATCCTATAGAATGTACACTTTTATATACTCTAAACACCAAAGCTATACAATTATACTTTGATGATTTACACTGACATAATATGTTAGTGTGATAGAAAAAATTGTACTAGCATTTTGTGTCTGTGTGAACCATCACCCTAGCATCACACTGGAACAAAATAAAAATGCATACTTACGGTGTACAAATTGAGATACAATTTTTGGAGTACAAGTAGCTTAATTCAAAAGACCAGAGTAGAATAAAAGATAGAAAATATGTCAAAACAGGAGTTGCATGTTTTTATTCTTAAAATAAAAGTTAAAATACAAATACAATGTCAATCATACCTAGGGGTGTTTATCGGTCTAAAACCGGACCGGACCAGACCAAACCAGACCGAAAATCGAACTATGCTAAAACCTAGACTGGAGACCGGACCTAAATGTAGTCGGTTTTAGACCGAACCGACCCGAAATCTTATGGACCGAACCGGTCCAGACCGAATCGAGGTGTGGCCGGAATTGAAACTTTCCCCACCGGCAAAACCCTAGGTGTGGAAAATTGGGGGTTTTGCAATCCCAAACCAAATGCTGCAATTAAGGAGTCATGGTGGGTCATAAAGATGTCAGGAAGATGCCTGTGTGGGTGCGCGACGTCGCATTTGCCTGAGGTGGCCGGAATCTGCAAATACCCTCAGAAACCGCCGTGTCGGGTCGCAACTAATTCCCAGCGATTCCGACGTCCAAATCCCACAATGCTGCTTGCGATGGGGTCGTATGGACCTCAGGAGGCGTTTGGGAATGGTGGGAAGGCTCGCCGCTGCGTGTGGTGGCCGGAGGAGATTGGGCAGCGGCATGGACGGCGATCTTGATCTTTTAGGTGGAGTGAAGGAGTGATAGACTGATAGAATTACTCCGTAAAATTAAAATGGTCTCGGTCTTTTAGGTATGGACCGAATGATATTCGTGTTTGGACCAGACCGGACCGAAACCCGAAATTGTAAAATTGGTGGACCGAAGACCGACCTGAAATCCAATCGGTCCGGGTTCGGTCTGGACCTATCAGTCCGGTTCGGTCGGTTTTTTCGGTCTGGACCTAAACATGAACAGCCCTAATCATACCAATATAATACCCTAAAATATAGTAAAATATTCATATATAATGTCACATTGTCATGGTGTAAACTTATATTTTAAGGAAAAAAATATAACTCTATTTTACTCCATAATACTTTCATTATGTTTTATTCCTATCTAAGATAATTTTTTTCACAAACAACAACAACCCGTTAAATTCCACAAGAGTATGGTCTGAAATTTTTCACAAAAATAATTAAAAATCTGATTGCATCCCCTAACTTATGTTATGTAGGCTTGTTTTCCTTCTTGTAATCCCGTAACTTGTAATACTCCGTGTTCAAACGACTTTACTCTTCATCACACACAGTCCGATGGATTTGGACGCGCGATGAGAAGAAGATCAGAATGGATAGACGCATTCAGATCTTCCTAAACAAGATCTCCCTCGCCTCCACTGCCATCGCCACCCTCATCCTTCTCCTCCTCTACCTCCGCACTCCGGCCACCTGCGTCCACATCGCCAGCGCCCACCTCAAGCCTCACCACAGCTTTCCCAAATCCACCTGCGGCTTCTCCGCGCGCCCCTACACCTCCGTCGACAAACGCAACCGCCGCCTCTGGTCCACCGCCGCCTGGATCCGAACCGTCCGCTCCTACGCGGATCTCTTCCGGATCCTCCGAGACAAACGCCTGTTCTCCGTCCAGTCTCGGGCCCTCGTGATCTCCGCCGGCCCAGGACACGCCGTCAAGGCGCTCCACGATCTCGGATTGAGCGACGCAACCGGAATCGAACTCGTTGAGTCGCCGCCCCTGGTCAGCCGGGCGGATCCTCTCAATCTGCCATTCTTCGACGGTGCGTTCGATTTCGTGTTCAGCGCGTATCTAGACCGGGCCCTGTACCCGGCCAGATACGCGGGTGAGATGGAGAGGGTGGTCCGTGACGGCGGCGCGTGCGTGGTGGCCGTGGAGGAGTGCGGGGAGGGGGAAATCGAGTCGGTGGCGAAATTGTTCCGGAAATCGAAGCTTCTGGGGGCTATGAACGTGACATTGGGCGGGGAAAGGAGGACTAGGATCGTGTTGAGAGTTAGAAATGGTTAGAAGTTCTAACTATTGCATCGATAGAAACTGTATGTCGTTTCCAGAAATTCAATCACATCTGTAGTTTGCTCTTCTTATAAACTGTGATCATCATACGAAAACACCTTCTTTGGTTGTTCTTAGGCCATGGCTGTAGCAAAATGGCATACGGCAGCAGTGAACAGCGGCGGTGGCTGCAGGCTCAATAACAGTGACGGTCAGCGAAGATGCAGCGACGGTCTACGGAGGAGCAGCAGCGGAAGAACAGCAGTGGTAGACGGGTCAGTGCTAATCGGCCAGAAACAAGAAAATTTAGATTTTAGGCTCGGATACAATAACATTTGTAAGAATTTCTCTTGTATTTCTGATAATTACCATATAAACATCTGTGGCACATCTTTGGTGTAGAGGACAAATGGGGTACCTTTTGGTTTTACTGCTAGCATTGCTCAAAAGTAAAATATACGGAGGTCTTCTATCCTTAACATTTTCTTCACCAAACATGAGTTATGCTCGTTTTAACTAAATCTAAAACTTCAGTGGCGAGGGGAAAATGAAGAAATGGTTTGAAGCTTTGATGGTTTACCGACTAGAGCAGAGGCGTCGTGGTGTTCAATCTGCACAGAAAAAAGAACAGTGACGAGGTCACGATGTTCAGTATCTGGTACAGTTGGCGAAGAGCTGAAAAGGAGGGACGGTGAAGCAGTTTTACCTCAGAGCACTATTAATGGGCCACGTTATACTAGTTTTGACGCCTGGGGGCGTTAAACACCGCCCCCCTCCCCGTTATGGCCCGTTAAAATTCCGGTGTCAAATTTTTTATGCAACTTGAAGGCGTTAAAATGCCTTCTTTCTTCCTTTTCTCCCTCTTTTTTTTCTTCTCTATAAATTAAATTGATTTTTTTTAAATTCAACAAAAATACAAATCTCTCTTTATATATCATTTTTTAAAAAAAATATTATTCAAGTATTTTATTTATTTTTTTGTGAATGTAATTTTTTATTTAATGAATGTAATTTTTCATAATGAATGTAATTTTTTTATTTAATGAATGTAATTTTTATAATGAATGTAATTATTTTATTTAACGAATGTAATTTTTTATAATGAATGTAATTTTTAATGAACTATTCTCGTTTCAATTCTTTTAAATAATTAAATATTTAAATTTTAATAATTTAATTTTAGAAGATTTGTATTTAAAATGTAAAAAAATGAAGTTTTGAATCCTCAGTGCTTTAAATCCATTTCCACTGTAAGGTAAATTAAAATTGACGTGGCAGAGAGAAAAGATTTGAAGCCCAGTTTGAAGTCTCAGGGCTTCACGAGTATTTCCAGTGCCATAAGTGGTAGGGCTCAAATCGCTAGGAGGGAGTGGTATTGTGAGAGTTACTGAACACATTCTTGAAAAATCAATACAAAATTTAAGTTTCTTAACATTCATGTCAAATCAAACAGCAAAAAGGTTATTTCCACCGTCCCAAATTTGATCACAAATTGGAATTTACCTTGTGAATCCTTGTATTTTTGAAATTGTTTTATTTAAAAATTGTTACATTAATAAAAAATAAAAATTACAAATTAAAAAATTATGTCAAAGTCGTACAGAATAAGATTGGCAAAAATATTTTATTTTAACAAATACTTCCTCCGTCCGGTATTAAACTTCACATTTGGACCTTTTCCCATTTTTATGAAGTGTTGACTTTAGGATATAAATGTCCAAAATATCCTTCCCCCTGTTGTCCCCCCACCCACTACCCTAGCCCTTGCTCCCACCATTTCCGTCAATCTCATCCCAACACTTTCGCAGGCCCAAAAATACCCTCAACCCCCAACAATTGTCGCAGCCCTCACCACCACCTCAGCCCCTAGATATTCTCAGGTTTTACATATCTAGAATAGTAACAAATAGGAGAAAAGGGAGAATAAGAAGAGGAAGAAAGAAGATGAATTGATTTGAATTGGGAGAGAAGAAGACGGAGAAGCAAAATGAGCGGATCTGAAGAAAGAAATGTGAAAAGAAGAAAAGAAGATGAAGAAAAAGAGAGGAAGGAGAGAAAGAGAGGAGTGAGCGAGGAACTAAGGGAGATAGAAAGGAAGAGAGGAGAGAGATAGAGTGAATATTGGTAAGTGGGAGTATTTTGGGTAGTTAGTATATAAAAAATTGAAATGTGGATATATTTTTTAGACGGAGAAAAGGGAAAATGAGAAATTATTTTTGGACGCCGGAAGTACTTAATAAAAATCCACAAATAAAAAAAATTATCGAAAAATAGAAAAAAAAATGAAATCAAAATTGAGATGGGAAACTATTAAGGAGAGGGTGCATTTTAATATTGACACGAATGGCATTGGCTTAAAGTACGGCCTGATCCATTACACTAATTGTCATCATTACACTACTTTCAGTCTTTGGGCCTTGTTATGGGTTGCCAGGCCTTATTCACAGACCATAGTAGGCCTATATCCTTCAAGAATTACTTGCAATCTGCCTGTCGTGGCATTGAGACTAGATTCAAATTTATTGCGTATTGGGCTGGGCTGGGCTGGATGGATAAGGCCGTTATCTTTTGGAGCAGAGTAACGACCACACTTGAAAATTTCTAGACAGACTACTTTTTTGGAGAAGATTGAGTCTCGTTTTCCATTTAAAAGTAAATTTATCAGTCTGTATTTATTAATGTAAAATTATTTCATTTAAAGAAAATCAATTCTAAAACAAAAAAATCAGAAAGATTTGAAGCCAAATTTTACGGAACAACTAGTTTTTAACCCCGTGCTCCGCACGGGCTCGTATATACCCTAGTTAAATTTTCTACGGAGTATTAATTATGATAGTTTTTAGGTATAAATAATAAATAAATACTCCATAAGATACATAAAAAATTGGAGAATAAAATATTGAATACATGGTATGGAGTAGTAAACTTTTCTAAAAAGAAAATGAAATTTTATTGTTAAAAAGAAAATAAATAGGAAATGACCAAAGCAAAGCCAAAAACACAAAAAATAAAGAACCCTGAAAAATACCAACACTTGAATCTAAATCTTAATCTAAAACGGCCAACAACAAAGGAACCAAATGAGTGCCCAACCATATATTGTTTCTAGAATACCAAGGTTGTTTCCTATCTTGGACGTGGAACAAAGTTCCAATCGTCACAAAATAAGTAGTTTTAAGCATCCTTTTCCTGGATAAACTTTCAAGACCCCCAATCAAAACACAACCAAAGCTACTCTACTTTTGTTTCAAGTCCAGAATGAATTTTTTTTATATGCCACTATAAAAAATTCAAAGCACTAAGAATACTAAAAATGGCCATTTATATAGATACAAATACACACAAATCCTAACTCAAGCAGATCCCAACTTAACTTCCCTTAGAGACCATGGAATAGCAAATATATGCAATCAATTAACCTAAAAAATGAAAGAAGTAATTAACTAAAAAACATCTAATCACCAAAACCCAGGGCACTGACCTTTTTTATTTGTCATCCTAAACAACCTCAGGGCACTTTAACTGTAATTACTAAATCACACAGATTAATAAATCCCCAGTGCTTATCATGATATTAGGGACATTAATCACAAAGAAGCTCCGAGAAAGAAGGGGGGCTTCAAAAGTAACATCAATCAAAGCACCAAGCGATAAGCTTCAACAAATTCAGTAGCTACCTGATTGAGGCTTTCTCGTCAGCCTTAGGTTCAACAGGTTTGTTACTGGGAGCAACTCGGAGAATCATACCCAAGCTTTGAAGATCCATATTAATATCTTAGGGAAAAGAGATGAAGATCAATCTGAAGATCTATCTCTTTCGATCCTCCCGCTAAAGAATACCCTCGTGTCCTGGTGAAGTATTTGCCAAATAGCTTTTGTTAGACGACAACCTTAAGCTAGAGTCGACAGAGTGAAAAAATGCATGGGTACTCAAAAGTCCAAATAACAAATTCAATGTGGCAAATAATCAAACCAATAAACCCAAAATGTTATTAGGTTGAGGCTCTGTTTCATTAAAAATGTTGATAACTGGGCGCACCATACTTTTTGAATATTTTTATGACTTTTTAACACAAATTCATTGAATTAGATAATTGTTGTAACATGAATTAGATTTTAAAATAAATTGAGTGGATATCTCTTGATATTACAAAGAAAATAAAGTTTATTGCTATTCAAAAATACGTTACACCTGATACCGAATGGTAAAGTAGTAAAAGGAGATACCTGATGAAGAATTCATGTGTCGATAGGTGATGGATGGATAGAAGGCTTACAACTTTGCCAGTAAGGAAGAGAAGACCGGTGAAATTCCATAAACAATGAAGGCCTTTGGCTAATCATATGGAACATAAGAAGAGCTCCATATAACAATCTAATAAAAAAACCAAGGGAGGTCATTATGATTGAGAAATTAGAAGAGGAAAAGAGGCATATTTCTAGCTATAAATTACCTGAGTATTGCATTGTCAAGATCAGAGACATTCCCTCAAGAATATATGCCTCATATGTGTCCAAACGAAAACCCTACTATGATACAAATGGTGAAACCAATGACAACTAACTCTTGAAGACAACTTCATCCATATACTTATGAAGTTGTTACTGAATGAGAGCACATATGAAATCATTCACTAATGATATGCATGCATAATACTCTCTTCATATTATTTTTTTTGGTGAAACTAAGTTCAATGAACTTACCAGGATACCAGTTGCCCCCCTCTTGATAGGACTTGTCACACATCTAGCATTCTAAGCCACCGTTTCTTGTGTTCTCTCTTTTCTTTGGGATTCCTAAAAGGTCAGTTAGATCCTGCAAACTAAATATAAAAGCTCCAATGTGCATCCAGTCTGCCAAGTTAAGGGATTCTTTTCTCTTTTTAGAATAAAGCTAAATATTAACAATGAAAAAGTAATTAAGATTAAATTTTAGGATGATTCACCAATTTGCTTATCTGTAGAGCGAAACATGTAAGAATGACTACCATCTGTCATTTATTGAGCAATCGTTCTGATTTTTTAAGTAAACGATTACTTGGTAGGGAACATGTAAGAATGACTACCATCATGTGAGTAAATTTTTCCTCGTGTTTTTGTATTTTTCTTTTCGGCTACCGAATAAATACAGGGTATATTATTTCATGATGCAACTTACTAAACCACACACAATAAAAATATGATAGTGACTTACTAAATCAGTAAACCATAACTTAATGCCCCGAACAATCAACCCCTAAAAGTATGATCTTTTGCATTATATAGTAATATTATTCAACTGCTAAGGACCATTTTCAGATTTAATTTTTCTTTAGACCCCCCGGTGAATTACAAATATTGCTCATTGCCATGCACCGGAAACCATTCTGTTAGTGAAAGACTCCTACAGTGCAATTTTTTCTTGATTCACACCTCAAACACACTAAAAAATGATGATATATTGGAACAACTTACAAATTGGTGCAAGTATTATGAAAGATTTCACATCCAAATACTTTGCAGCTGCAGTTCATGTGTCCTATTCATACCCCTAGA